TATATTTCATCATGCAAACCAACTGCAATGACGCACTTCTGTAATCAGTAGTTTCTTAATCATTCCCCGGAGTTTGTAAACAACGCCCCACATTATATCACATGGAACATATGAACATATAAACAACGAAACATATGAAAGTGCGAAACATGCAAATATCTCGAAAAACATTCAGTGTTATTTACACGCGGGGAGAATTTTATAGTAAAAATTACTGTAGAATTTTACAATTTTGTATGGAATTTTTTGTAGATCTAGATCGATATTCTGCAGTAATTGGCCATCCTTTTATACACTGAAAAAAAAATCTAAAAAGATATTTGCTGCATACTGATAAAATATTTATTCAGATCTAAATTCTTTTACTTAAATAAAATAAACAATTGCTTTTACGCGTAAAACTATAATTTTAAAAATATATATATATTTTATACTTAAAAATATTTCAATATTGATATAAGTAAATATGTTAGTTTATTCATCGAATAAATATTTCCTATTCCTTAAATATTTTTTCTCTCAGTGTGTTATTTATATTTTAAGAGTTGAAATGTTAAAAAAATTTGTCATGTTTCTAGCGAAATTTATTATGCTTCTTAGCAAGATATATTTTACTGATAGTCTGTTTTTTTTTGCACTACCAGAAACATAGAGAAACTGACAAGAACTTGTACAAAAGACAAGAAAAAAACTATAATATTCTCTCCGCGTAGAGAAACCTGGTTTTTCACGCGACCAGCATTGCAATTAAGCTTCTTGCTTGCTCTCTCGTCGACTCCAAAAGAGATCTTCACTGTTAAAACTGTGAACAGGTGCTGCTGGTCGCAAGAAAAACTAGGTTTTTCTAATGTTTCGGTGATTAAAGGGAATAATTGTATGATTTATTCTGTATAGAAAAAAGCTGTACAGAAAATAATCTAATTTGGATTTATCGCGCATTTAATATTCATTCAGTATATCGGTAATTTCTCGATTATATAATTTTTTTACGTCCCGTCTGCTATAAGGCAAAATTGCATACTCGGAAAAATGCAACTGACCGCAATTTCCTAGAAAGATATCCTGCCTCTGATATGCACGTTCGACATTGTATTTTCCATTATAACGATTGCACAAGCGCTTTTATCTTAATTAGATGCAAGTTATCGTTTGGCTCGTGCACGAGCGTTAAGGAAAACTATTTAATAATCCGCAAAAATATACGCGCAGGAGAGCAAAGAGTGTTGATCGATATCGTCTAGACGACCTCTTAGACAGTGAATTCGGAAACAGTTTCCGAGTATTCTACACGCTTTAGTATTCTACACTCGTTTGACATTCGATTCTAGCATCTCATGCGACACAAAGTGAGTTAGAAACATTCTAAAATAGATGCCTTAAAGTGTTCTCACTCCATCGCTTGGGACTTTTACGGTATAAAGCTACATGTTACAGCGGAAGCAATATACGGAAGTTGTTTCGTCCATTATAAATTGAGGTATCCGGCCACGCGTATCGATCGGCATATTAATCCCGGATTGACATGTTGAAGTTCACCTTCACCGACCTTTCGTTTTACAAGATTTCTTATTGTTCAGATACTCTTCAAGATTTTGACATATGTATAGATCACGTATGCTTTATTTTGTCATATTTCTATATGGAGAGAATATGACTTTCTTTTTTTCTCGTACAAATTCTTTTCAATTTTATTATGTTTTTAATAATCTAGGAATAGATTGTCAATAAGGTCTGTTTTGCTTGAAGGAACATAGGAAATTTCGCTGTTAAGGCTCTTTATACCTCGCCGGTTGGATGTCAGAAGTGCGAATTAACATGTTGACGAAAGTTGCGTGTTATTTCTGAATTAAAATAAATATGGACAAAAGAGCATTTGAGATTGCTTGAACACACTTGTAAAATTATTCGAAAAATATCCCTTTCCTTTGATGATCAATAAATAGTCGTATAAATGATGAAATAAGACACGTGAAGAAATGATGAAATAAGAGTCTGCATGCTTTTACCATTTATTATACGACTATTTACTGATCGTCAGAGGAAAGTTTTCGAAAAATTTTACCGGTGTGCTCAACGATCTCAAGTGCTTTTTCATCCGTATTTATGTTTATTTAGGACGCAACTTTAACTCGTCAGCGTGTTATTCCTCGCTTTTGACGTCACAAATCTAACATGCCCGTGGCGAGGTACAAAAAGCTTTAAACAGTACGTATGAAACGAAAGGATAGTGAATTACTGCAGAATGTCGATCTATTCCTCGGTCATTTTATAGTGAGTTTTACTGTAAAATTCACTCTCTCTATTCGTGTAATTTATTTTTCATTTTTCTATTATTTAATTTCATTTTCGAGAAAATAATCGTCACTTCTTACTCGCGTCACTCGTCCGCGGTTTTACGAATCATATACGAGCAGGTGTATTTCGCTCGTCCACGTGTCACAAGGACTCTGTAATGATTCTTCAGCGTCCGTAAATCCCGTTCATTATATTACTTGCACAGTAAGCAAGCGGGTAACCAACGCTAAGTAACGTATTCATTATGTGCTAATCGACCGCTGCTATTCGTTCGTGAACTTCCCGCGACCTTGACGTACGACTGAAAAATATATGGTACAAGTAGCATCGAGATAACAGCGGAGAAATAGCATGCCACGACTTGTCACAGCTCATGTCGAGTGTTTGTCATCGAACTATTTACATAAAAATAACCGAGAAATAATCCTCGTCTTACGCACTTCATATTTCTGTCACTCTTATTGGCTCACCAGAAAATATTTGAAGCCATTCTGTCGACTGACGGAAATAAATATTTTCACTATTGCACAGGTATCATCAAATAATAATCCACCAATTATATAATCAATAAATAATTGATAAATTCCTATATTTCTCTAATATTTGGTAAAATCCGAGCAAGGGTATCGGAAACTGGTGAGGCTGTAACAAACTACAGCCGGTTACTGAACGTTTTCCCTTTTTACTTCGACGTACTTTGCAGAAATTTCGAGCATACATTTTCTCGTTTCTGACGTCACCAATCAAGAGTATCGCGGCGAGTAGAGGCAGGAGGACACTTAATATGTATATTTTTTAACGTCGGCAGAGACATATTACTGAAACACGTTGCGACACCCCGTTACTCTGAATTGGCACCTCATCGTACTCTCAGTCCGATATAATATCGATCGAATCCAAGAGAGCGTTGATGTCGTGAGCCGCGATAATATCGCCCGCTTAAAACGAATAGCGTTAATGATATTTATATGCAGCCGCATTGGGCAGATTGTGAATGTAGAAGAGCTATCAGAAAGTCGGTAACGACGGTGTCGTTCGCTCCAATTTGGTTCCCCGCCTCGTAAAGTTTATGAGCGCGTCGTTATTGTATCAGCTCGTCGAAAGGAAACTTTTATTGGTTTTTGCACGGGACTGGCGCTTACGACTTACAAACATTGTTGTAAGAGCACATTCGTGGTTTCGTGGAACGTTGCTTGTACGTTTTAACACAATTTTGCAATCTAACTTGCGCAAACTTTCTGTTTCTCTCTCTCTCTCTCTCTCTCTCTCTCTCTCTCTCTCTCTCTCTCTTTCTCTCGCTTTTTCTCCCTCTTCCTTTCTCGAGAAACGTATAATTAAAAAAAAAGGATTTTTATCATAAGTTTAACTTTCATTATAACGAACCACGAATTTCCTCACTGTTTATCTCACTAGTTTCTAATTTTCCACATTAGAATCCCGACACAATCACTACCAATTTCGGACGGTCGTAGCATGCGCTCAAAAGAGTGATATAAAATGTATCTCAATTATGTGGAATGAGTTTAGAGGACAGTTTATCGATGCCGATGGACAGTTATATATCGTATCTCGCCCGCGACCGTTCTTTATCGATTTGTGTGGGAAAAGCGGCGTCGCTTGATACTTTTCTTAACTTACTTTGCTCGACTTATGAGCGAGCGAACTGAAATTATTGTTTTCCGTGAATTTTTTAGCGCTTGCTTTTCCCGCGCGACAAGTAAGCGCGCCTAAGATTCCCCATCGTGCCATCAACGTGTACAGTCGTGGTTGGAGAGATTGTCTGATTTTTTTTGCAAGTTCCGAAACCTACCCACGTCTTATTCAATGGGAGAGCTCTTTTTATTGGAAAATAAATTCTCCCATTGGACAAGAACAATAGGTTTCTAAACTTACAAAAACACCAGGCAACCTTTCCTTTCCACGAGTGTACACACGACGTCATGGATGCCCGAACATTCCCTGAATCGAGGAGTTACAGGACTTTTGGCTTTATGCGTATACATTGAGAGAAATTATTCGATAAAAAATTAACAAACGGACATTTTCGATTAAAATACCAATAAATTTTTGTATATCCGATAAAAAATTAGGAATAAATAATCCGATAAATAATTAGGAAACATCCGATAAAAAATTATCGGTTCATAATTTTTTATCGGTTTATCTGATGAAGTGCCATTATGATCGGAAATATCCGTTTGTTAATTTTTTGTCGGATAATTTCTCTTAGTGTACGAATATGATTGAAATCACTACAATTAACGCCATTATAACTCTATCATTATAATCAGAATTACGCGATTTTCAATGTCAAGTATCATGTGTAAGGTTAAAAATCGTATCTAAATCCTTGATCTAGTAAATGTTCGGGCATTCCATGACGTCGTATATACAAGCGCGCACGTCGGGAAGCTAAGTTGACCCTCTCCTCTTCCTTTTTGAATTGTCCAACAAGATGTAGAAACAAGTATTCCCGCGAACTGCAATTTTCCGAGATACAATGACGCAAGGTAATATAATTTGCCGGAGCGTTGAAAATATTAACACATTAGCGTCTGACGCGAAGTCTCGCGACACAATTGATTAGTCGTGAACAAAATAGACCCTCGCACCTAATTTACTATCGGAACGCATGATCCGCGGCTAATTCGGGCTGAGCTTGTTGTTATCTCCGAATTTCTGAATGTATTTCTTTTTCTTCGCAGCCAGAATCCGATGTGTATGATGAAAGGGGCTTATTAGTATGCTGGATAAGCGGCGGCTTCATGCCTCCGGTACGTCGCCATGCACCCTCATCTTCGTGGTCGTTTTGGCACTAACTGGATGCTTCTCGTTTTGGATCCACATCGATGGCTCAGGATCGCCGATGCCGTACTCCGGCGCCGGTGTGGCCGGGTATACCCTTATATTTCCCGGCAACGTCACCACGCCATTCCCGCAACCCTACTCGGTAAACGAACTTCCGTCCGATGATAAGTCCACGCTAATCAACATCAAGGACTTCAGATTCACCATCAACCACAGTCCATGCAATCGCACGCAACCGTTGCTACTGATGTTGGTGCACTCGGCGCCGGAGAATTTTCTCAAGAGACACGTCGTACGGGAAACCTGGGGTCAACAAACGCCGGACGTGACTTTATTATTTCTCGTGGGATACTCGGAGAAGTATCAGTCCAAACTCGAGGAGGAGAACAAGAAATACCAAGACTTAATACAGGGAAGCTTTCTCGATGCCTATAGAAATATGACTTACAAGCACGTTATGGGATTAAAGTGGGCTACTTATTATTGTCCAAGTAAGTTTCCATCTCCGATTTCAATCATATCGCGGTTATGCTTCGTTTCTTTTTATCACACGCGATATCGGAAATTGAGAACTCGATAATGCCAAGTCGATTAAACGTCGGATTTGGAGTGGATCGGCAAAGTGGAAGCAACGTCGATTCGCGTAGAGTGGTGCTTTGCACGCCACTCGTACTTATCTTGTCCTATTAGAATGATAATAGGATAACTATGAGTTAGGATACTATCAGTAGGATACTGATAAGTTTAATCTCACTCTGTCGATGCGTCAAAATCTAATGCGCTCTATATTATTTGTGCATCTGCTGCGTCAACACACGCCAATCATCCCCTTTTCTTCCTTTTTCAGGTGCCAAATATATACTTAAATTAGACGACGACGTTTTTGTTCATTTACCGGCCATGCTGGACTTTCTCACGCACGGCCTGTCGCCCTGGGGTGCAAGACGTCTGATTCTCTGTGATCTTCTGTCGGCTTCCGCAGTCAAGAGGTCTTGGCGCTCGAAATGGCGGGTCTCCCCCCAGGAGTATCCCGGTAGACTTTATCCCGCGTACTGTGCCGGATGGGCGATCCTCTACTCACCCGATAGTGTATTTATACTGTACCGCGAGGCCCAGAAGGAGCCGTATTTCTGGATCGACGACGTGCACATTACCGGCACACTGGCTAGGAAAGTAAACCTAACGCAAACCTCATTACACTCTTGGGTGCTCACGACCGACAGCATGCGGGACCTGCTGTCGAACCCGGGCGCTCGGCGAGATTTTCTGTTCGGGCCTCCGGACTTAACGGAGAGCGGAATACGAGCCTTATATAGTCTGGTTACTAAACCACGGCCTAGCAGCGAAAGCCTATTGAATTAACGTCTACTAATAGAACAATTTCGTTATATGTAATTCGGTCGCCGTAACCGCGACGAGTCGCAGGCGGGTTGAGATGAGATGCGAGAAGGTGGCAAAGGGTCTAGCGGATCTAGCGCGAACACTCTTGTGTATTTGCCGCGTGTATCAATTCCACATCAGTATACCCGGCTGACGTCGCTTTACGACGTCAGTCGGTGTTCAATTGTTTGCACAATGTACAAATGCCATGCTACTCGTAATATGTCACATGATGGTGCGTTACGTAAGTGCATATGTTGCACACGCGTGCATACAACCGCCGGCAAACGCATATGCTCTTGTAACGAACTATTATGGACTTTGATTGATATTATTTAGATCTTGCCGGTATTATGTCTCGATTTATTCGCTTGTCAACTCTATTAATTTTAAGGACTCGCTTCGTTAGTCGAAACGTGATTCTGGACTGTCGCTCAGTAATCAGGGCTTGTGGACTGAACTTCTTCTTCAGTTTCCTGCACAAAACGTTGTTATTTTTATACTGTGATATTTTTTGAATCCTCAATTGTATTCGAGCATTGTTGCACGGAATGCGTACAATACGTTATTTAATATTTTTATCTGCTTTTTTGTGTACACATTGTATTCTAATCGGCCGCTCAGCTACCATGTAGGGAAACGCACATGTATGCACGCACATAGCTCAAGAAACGTTTCATGAGCCCTGATTACTACACCTTATGATGTGCAAAATGAATCTCAAATCCGTTTATAGTCTGGATAAATCTCAAATCCGTTTATAGTCTAGAATATAAATTCGTTGCTAAGAAGAGAGTAAGAGAGACGAAGAGGAAGAGAAAGAGAGAGAAAGGGAGGAAGAAAGAAGCTCGGATATTTTTTTATTTACACTTACGAAAATGCCAACGGAGATATAGCGAGGGAGATTTAGCGTTAGTGTTTAAAGACGGCAAGCTACACGCGAAACTTACCGTGCATCTCGCGCGATCGGAACATCCTTCCTCTCGCGACGACGACGATGACGACGACGGCGATAACGACGACGACGGCGACGACGACGGCGACAACGACGACGACGACGACGACGACGACGACGACGACGACGACGACGGCGACAACGACGAAAACGATGAGGACGACAATAGCGACAACGACGACGGGGATTTGCGAGAAAAAAGAATGTTGTTTTGATCGCGAATTCCCGTCGATCGAGCGAGGAGCAGGAGTCGGGGGATTCTCGTTTCGCGAAGCTACCAATTGTGGATGTGTACTTAAATGTAATGTAATGATGAATAAGTTTAAGATACTACATTGTTACGCAAAGGGACATTAAAAACGAGTCGAATTAATATTGTTACGTAGCAACAAGTACAACCCCAAAACAAGGGTCCACTCGCAACTAGATACAGAGATCGCAGATCTGTCCGTTTTTGAATGTCTATAGATTTTTTATGTGAATCCGTTGGATCAAACACCCCGATTGTTCCGGTACTATGAGGGAGTATGTGCCTGCAAATTGTATTAAAAAAAAAAAAAAAAACGTGCCGAGAGCGCGAAGAGACGATCGCGCGCTAGCTTTTAGTTAACCGGCGATTTCATTAGGATCGGCGTGTGATGTCGATGTGGCAAATAAAATACCGCGGTGTACACCTCGCATACTGTACTGTGTCGCGTTTTTCATCTGAGATACAACGAATGCGTTTACCAGACACACACACACACACACACACACACACACACGTATACGTACACACACGAAATTCCACCTCGCCGCAAAGCGCGACGCTACGTTCGAGGCTGCATATTCTCTCTCGCGAGCGCGCAATGTAACAGGAAATGAAGCATATTCGGAGCCTCATCACGTACTTACTCCACATACGCGCGAATCACAATCACCTGAATTGAACGGCTGTTTGGCGTCGATTATAGTCGATGAAATGATCGGTAGCTATTAGGTTACTGAAACGTCGCTCGATATGAATATTCTCAAACTTTTTTACTCGTGTATTAAGTTCTTTTTTTTTCTTTCTTTGTATAGAATCATGTCATCGTGTGAAATTGTTTCGAAATGAACGTATCTCTATTGCGATATCGTCTAGTACGATTGCATCATAGTATAATGTAACAATCTTTGTGATGGAGCAAATACTTATAATTTCAATAAACACGATGGATTATTTCAATTACATCACGGCGTAATCTCTTCATTGGCGCTTATTCTCTCGATTCGTGGTGGCACAAGGCGCAACCCTCATCCTCAGCGGTCGTAAGCGACAGGATGGCGAAGAGAGAGTATAGAGAGGTAGTCGTATAACGTACAATCGGATATATATACTTTATTGGTCCAGCTCTGTTTAACTACGTAGAACTATTTATAAAACTTTACAAAATGCTCAACGTGTTGCAATATAGGGGGACCTTGCTTAGATATATTTACAAGGCAACGGAGTTTACGCGACTTCTAAGGATTGACTGACGACAAGCTGTTGCACATTAACGTAATTATCGCAGGTTCTTCGAGCGCCTCGACTGTGATCTCGATTGATATATTTTGCGAATTGTAAGATATCTCCTCATCGTAAATACACACAACGCGATTTTGTGCAAATATTCGCTTGAAGCTCGGGCGTTGGTCTACCAACCAGATGGAGTCGCTACGAGAATACGCGAATGATTCCAAGTAAACGGTCCGGGCGTAAAGTTCAAAGGAACTCAAAATGCCGTACTTACAGCATCGCGAGGCACGTTCAACCTTCCGCGCATCTGTTCTGCACGTAAGCGCAATTAATATGATCCGAAAATCACCGTAAAATTATCATTTTTGTTGTACGAGCGGTAATTCATCGATGGATTAAGTTACATACTATTCAATCTATCTAGTGTATCATTTGATTGTTAACTAATGGAAGTGTAATTATGTGAAACACAAAGTTCCGTATCGCGTATCACGCGAGAGTGAGCGTATTACGGGAAATTTGGCACTGACGACAAAATTTACAAACATATTGTTATTGCGGAACTGAGAACATATGTTCAGAGCATTATTGATCAGTCGTTTGATAAAGATCAAGTGAATCACAAGAGCCATAATAATGATCGAAATTGCTAGCTTCACGAAGAGATATTGCGATATGACAATGTATTCAAGCGAAGTCATATGTCTCTATTAAAATTATTTACAGTCCAACATGAACTATCTGTCTACGTATAAATTCGTTAACGATCCCGATTTAGTGATTTTTCTTCTCGATAAATTAGTTGAGAAAAGGGTGTCTTCCTATATATCGCTTAGAAATGTCCCGACGCGAACACGAGGACGTACCGGTGCCTTCACTCGTGCCGGCCGTAGAACGACATGTGCGGTTTCTCAGTGCGTTCAACCATTGAAAATCGAAACTCGATTATATCCTATAAAAATTGGCAGTATACAAACAATTCATCACATCAAAAGTTAATATGTATATATATCTACATATATATATATATGTGTGTATATAGTATACGTGTTAAAAAAGATTTCATAACGAACGTTAAGATTGGTGAAGTTTACGTTGATCCTTACAATGTTGATTGAAAGAAACCGGAGAGGGATACTCCGTAATATATTATAAACTACAATTTTTATCTCTCTTTTTTTAATCGTCTAACAAACTCGTCGCCCGTGATGCGCGCCGATAATTACGTATGATAGAAACAGTTTTGCTCTAACGCGGGGACACGCGTTCCATTTTCTAGTAGCGTACGACTGCATCTCTCTGTTGGAGCCTGCATACCGTGAAATCTTTTCCCACGAACAGAGAGATTCGACGTATCAACGCGATTTGACGTTTCAACGAAATGCGATGCCAAACTATGTGGTTATTTAAAAGTAAAATCGATCAAATATCGATCCAACGAAAGCGAGAGAGAGAGAGAGAGAGAGAGAGAGAGAGAGAGAGAGAGAGAGAGAGAG